AGTACCAAGTTAATGGTAATATATTGATTTAGCATGAAGCGTCAATTCAAGTAGAGGCGTATAAACTATTTTTCCTTTAGAAAGTGAGGGACTTATCTGAGAGTAGAGGATTGGAATAGGTTAGTTGTGCATGCATTGCATTTTTTTTAGTATGTTAAACTTGTAATTACTGTTATGAAATGATTTTTGAAACGAAAAATGGTTTTGGAAATGATTTTTTATATAAGGAAATAGTTTTTAAAAAGTTTTTGGGAATCTATTTACATTACTAATTTCATTTCACAGTCTGATTCCAGTACTACTCACTAGGCTCCGAAGACTAACATATTATTTTGACATGTACTTAAACATGAAGGTGAAAATGGTTTAGCTTATTGGATATTTAGAAGGCCATGATCTATATGGTTCGTCTTAACCTTTGTAATGATATTGAATGGAACACTCTCGTACACAATTTAACCTAAATTCTTGTTTTAATACTTTAGGCCAAAATTTCAGTTTACCAAAAACTTGTGTTTTATGTTTTGGGACCAAACTCTACATCAAAATTTCAAAACAGTTAAATGATTTTAAAAGATAAACTTTTCTCTAATGCCCATACGAGAGACATTTCAGAACTAGATAAATATCCGGTCTTTGGTATTACTGAAAAACATGTGCTGTGTCATGTTGGGTTGAAACATTAAATGAGTTGAAAGAAAGTCATCATAACCATACCCGTTTAATATTTTTTTTTTCATTTAGTTTCAACATTTTTTTTCATGTTGAGTTCATGTCAGGTTAGCTGTTTGAAACTTTTGATTTTGTAAATCTGTTGGGTCTCGGTTTGAAACTTTTGATTTTGTAAATCTGTTGGGTCTTGCAATGTTGAAACATTAATCGAGATTAAAGAGTAAGAATTAGGGTAAGCCAAAGAAAAAATGAAAAACAAGGAGTAGGAGTTTGGCATGTGGATTGACGAAATGCATAGAAATGTAGAGGGAAAAATGGAAAGCATATGAGTTGGAAAAGTGGAGGGGAGAGGTCGTCGGGAGAAGGAAATAGCCAAGTGGGGCAGTGAAGTATGAGAGGGAAAAGAAAAAAATTAAAAAAAGAAAATAAAGTCTTGACATTGATGGATAGATGATTTTGAAAATGTAACAACTCAAAATTTTCTTTTATATGTGTTTTTTTTTTGGCATATCCAAATTTATCTAACGAAAAAAAAAACATATAAATAATTATGTCATTTTTTAGTTTAAATTTGTTCTTCTAATATTACATGTATAATTTTTGTGTCATGTCAATCTTTTAAATTTTATACTGTGTTAAGGTTTGCCACATTTAATTTTCGGTTTAATCTGATTTTTTTAATTGAAACTAATACCAAAAATCCCAACAGTTCTTTAACTTTATCAAATACATATTGTATTATATTTGATTATATAAAGAAAAAAAAAACAAATACATATTTTATACTTTAGTTGCTATCGAAGTGGTATAGATTTTTGTGTCTTTCGAGTGGTTGATGATTAGGAGGATGTCATTTTTATTTTAGGAGGATGTCATTTTTATTTTTATTTATATTTATATTTATTTATATATTTTTTTGAGAACGGCAAATCTACTTTATTCAATTCCTACAGTTATCCTAAATGTCCACCTATGTCTTTTACGGGACTTGAACCATCAATCTCAAAGGGGAAGAACAACACCAGATACCGCTGGGTTAGAAGCCCTTTGTTGTCATTTTTAATTGGAAAGCAAATAATCAATATCATCATAATTTTGAAAAGACAAAACTGCAAAAATGGTCCTTGTTATATGTATTTTTTGGGGTTTTAATCAAAACCTCGATTTTTTTGGATTGATGGTCCTTTTAAACTACTTTGGTTGTGGTTTTGGTCCCTCGTAAAAATGAAATAACTAATATGCCCTCCTAATATTTTTTTTTATCCTTTTTCTATTTAATTTAATGTTTTATTAAATTAAAATATAAGAACTCTCTCTCTCTGCCAAAGAAATAACCCAGCAAAAAAAGTTCATCCCTTTCACCCCAATTTAGGGATTCCATCCTCGACACATCCATGTCCGCTACTCTCTCTCCTTCTCTTTCTATGACCTTAGCAAACTCAAAGATTAAACGGGTCGGATCCCATTGGAGTTCGAAAAACTTTCACGTCTAACCCATTCGTTTCTTGATGCCAATTTCTTGTTCAGTTCCTACTTTTCGACTCCTGAACTGGCTAAAAAAAGTTAGGCCTTAGTGATAATCGTTTAAGCAAGGGGGATCCCACCAGAGATTTGCTGATCTCATAGATCACTTTTGGAACTTGGTCTCTAACGGAATCAGTTTTCCGATGAGATTCCATCGTCAATTAGAGAGAATTTAGCAGGGGATCACAAACACACCTGTTTTCAATCTTGTCTTTCTCTCACCCTCAATCTTCCATCTTCCATCATACATGTAACATTGAAGAAGCCAACCAATCCCCTCAGATATTAACTGGGTGGACCTTCAGACAATCGTTCTCGGTAGATATCTTGAATCCGTTCTTGATCAACCTGGTGACGCAAAGAAATGACGGTGATCAGAGAAAACCCCTTTCACATCATCTGAAACCACCAGAGCCCTTCATTTGTTCCTCTTCTTCCCCCAACAATTAAGGTAAACCCAATACCAAGTAGGTTCGATTTCAAGGTAGTTAAGCTCACTTATGCAAATTAATCTTTGGTAATCTTCTTTGATTTCAAGTAGTTTTGTCCATCCCCCAAAATCACCCAATCCCGAAACCTCCTATATTCTTTCGCTGTAGAAAACAACCCAAAAGTAGAGCAAATGGGGTCGAAGAAAGACGATGGGGTCTGTCACCATATCTTTACCATTATTAATGGTGGTCTTAATTGTATGTTTATGTGTGTGTATGTGTTTTAAGGTGTAGGAGGGCTAGGAAAGAAATTGGTGATGGGGACTCTAAGATTCAAGAGAGAGAGAGAGAGAGAGGGGGAGGGAGGGGGAGGGGCCTAATTTTATAATTAATAATAATAACAATTTTTAAAAAATGAAAAAAAAATGAAAACTAAATTATTAAAGGTATAATAGTTTTTTTAGTTTGGACAAGAACCAAAACTACAAGTAAACTAGTTCAAAATGACTACCAATCCAAAAAAGTTGAGGTTTGGACTAAAACCCCAAAAAAATGCATACCACAGAGGTTATTTTTGCAATTTTGTCTTTTGAAAATAATTGAGATCATGATATAAGAGCATCTTTATTGATGTAAAACAATTACAATTAACCAACGTTGTTAAAATTGTAAAAGTAAACTGAACCCGATCATATATGTGTCGTTTTTGGGTAGGATCGGAGGAGGATCATATAATCAAATTGGATTGTAAGATGAATCGTAAGATGGTTATTATTTATCTTTTTAAAAAGATTTATAATATTTTATCTATGTTGTAACTAAGACATTGAATATGAACCTTAGAAAATCTCTTAGGAATTGTTTATTGTTAAATAATGTATTTGGGATGTATTTTTAGTGTTTGAAATTATTTATTGTTAATTGAATGACTTGAATTAGAGCTGAGTTGAATTTGGGTTCAACCAATTTATTAATTGGGTTGGATATTTTAATCCAACCCAACCTATTTATTTAAATGGGTTGATATTTTCAATCCAATCAAACCTTCAAATAGGTTGTTATCATGTTGATTTCTTTATGTATTTTTCAAGCTACATATTAAATAAATGGGTTAAACCCGGGTTAACCCATTTAAATAAAATAAATAACTAAATTAACTAAAGTTTATACCATTTAAATTAGTTTCAAACTTAAATAAAATTTCAAAGTATGTCAACTCAATCCAAATTCACAAATACAAATAAATATTCAAATAATATTAAAAATAATTATTTTCAAAATGATTTTAAAGAGTGATTAGTGTTGTCGGCACAAAAAAAAAAATTAGAAATTAGCATTGGATTTTTTTAAAATATGAATAATAACAAAACATTATAATTTATAAAATAATACTTATAATAATACATTATAATATTTAAATAATTATTAAATTAAATATATATTAAAGTTAAATAGGTTGGTGAGTTGAAAACAGATTGATAACTTTGAAACCAGGTTGATAACTTTTATCCAACCAAACCTATTTAATTAAATGAGTTAGATGGGTTAATCCATTTAATTTAAATGAGTTGAAAATCCCAACCCAAAGTGCTAATATTGGGTTGGGTTGGATTGGTGGGTTTAATCGATTTTCGCCAACTCCAGCTTGAATGGCTAAATTAGTAAATTATGGACAACAATGTATTTTCATTTTTTAAAATGTTTTTGGTAGAATTATATATCCCTTCGATTTCTTACAATTAAAATCTATTTATACGAATTCTAGAGGGGTAATATGATCATTTTAAACCAAAAAACGGATATATAACTGTTGGGTATATAAATTGATTGATTTTTATAGTTCTTATAGTAACTTAAAAAACAAAACGGATAAAATGTTTTTTTTCAAACCTGATAAGAAAGTTGGTGTGCCTGAAAAACGTCGGTTTTGATTAACAATGTCCGGTTTAGGGTGTATATGGAATTGAGTTTTGAAAGAAAATTTGAACTAATTTGTTTTTACCCATCAACATAAGAGTCGAATGAGTCATTTCTTTCCAACCCTCTTGTCACATAGACTTTATATCAATTTTTTTGTTTTAATTTTCTGTTTCATCTTTCCCAACCCATAAACATAGATAATTCATCTTTCTAACTCTCCCCACCACTCCTAAGTATTAAAAGCAAACTTTTGAATCATACGTAAAGAAATACAAGAAACACAAATGGATACCAACATTTTGCAAAACCACTCACAAACATCATGTCATCTTATAAAAAATTTAAAACAACATTGTAGGCAAACATTATAAATGTCCTACCACTGTTAATAAACGTTCACAAGTTAATTTCCAACAAAACCACTAATTGCACTCATTACTCATACAACGCACTACAAACAAATTAGCAATACAACAACTACACCACTTGCATATAAATTTCAAAAAAAAAAAAAAAACCATCCATCCACACACTAATTTCATCTTCATAATATCCTAACACACACATCCCAACTTTACCTATCCATCATCTACAACCACCGATCTCCAACACCCACCAGCCTTGTTCGTTTCCCTCCACTTATTTCCATGTTCTTGGAGATGAATGAATATACAATACCAATATAATATAGTATAATATGAGATAATATATAATATAATATAATATATATAAGGTTGTTAATGTCTATGATGATAAATGACGTCTGATATTGCATGCGAGCGAGATTTTGTTCTCATGATTGTTTCATCGCTGTGTTTTATAAGCTCGGAGAGTCTCCATGGTTTTTGCCATTTCCATTTGAATTGGAGTAGCCATTGATGGTGGCTCCTCTTCCACCTCCATAGTTTCCCAGAGGAGTGGCCCACCAGAGCCAGCTTCTTCAGAGACAACTGACCAATCGGCACCATCTGTTGTCCTCATAATCAAGATTTTTAATCAGAGATAAATTCAGTATAAATAAACAAAACGGAAAGAGTAAAATTACGGATGTACATAATGTGAACAAACCTTTCGTTTCTGGTCTATGAAGGCGGCCGACTCCCTGACAGAACCGTTAGCTATGCCAGCTGTGTATTTCAGTTGTTTTGGTACGGGTACAGAGTTTGGAGATAACGGTCCGCTCATGTCATCAGCCAAGTGTTTTAGCGAATTGTGGGGGTTTCCCTGTTTTCAATACCGGAGTTAGTAATCAAAAAGTTTTATGTTATACTGTATACTGTCTACTGACTACTGAAAACTTGTGTCTTACGGAGGCAGATGTTGCGAGAGTTTGCTGGTCCCTAAGTTTTAGCTCTTTCTCGGCTTCTTTTCTTCTTAATTCACTTTGTCTAAGAAGACCTACAAGCTCTTGCAACTGTTCTTCCATTTCCTTCATGTCAATATCCTTTTCCCATGATTGGCACCTAAAGATACGATACCCAGAGAAGTCAGTGACTAGTGAATGATATTTTGCTAAATGTTTAGGTTTTACCTAGCGTCTGCAAGAGAGTTGAACATGTACTGAAGCAGGTTTTTAGCATCGGCCATTGATCGGAGCTGATTCCAACGTCCACGGTTGGCAAAGGCGCGTTCCCTTTCTTCTGCCTCGGAGAGTTGTGAAGCCATGAAGACAAGTGAATTTGATGAAATGTTTAACATGCTCTCTAGTGATGATATTCTTGACATTCTTGCTTCAGGTGATAAAGATGATGCCCTATACAAATTAATTTAACCATTTGCTAAACTAGACTATTATTGTGAATAATAATCATAAAAGTAGGTTTAACCTTTTTTCTATGGTAAAAAGGAAGAATAAAATTGTACCTAGAGAAAGCGTTCTTTCCTTTTGGAGGACTAACTCCTTTTGTAGCAAATTCTTCAACTTGTCTAAGAACAGCAAGCTCTTCCGCAAGTGCAGCACGCCTGGGAAATAGCCAAAGTTTCTCATTAATGCATTGTGCTTTCAAACCTTATTTTTATAGAAAAATAAAAATAATGATATAAAAATAAAAAGATGCATACACTTGGCTTTGTTTCTCATATTCATGTCGAACTTCATGAACATTCACCATCACTTCCAGCTCATGATCAAGCCACCGCTGCAATGACTTCTCATTGTTCTGAAAACAAAAAATTTTGTTTATTAAAATATTAAAATTACATTTTTGTCCCCAGAATAACCAAAATTTAATAATGACATTTACCTGTACATTTGTTCCATTTCCATTGCTAGTCACTGCAAGACAACCATGGTTCAGTTTATAAATGATCTATGTGTGGTTTCTTTTAGACTCAATACTGAGTAAATGACCGTTTTACCCTTTTGCAATGTTGAATGAGAGTAACTTTTCATTGTTTATCAACACAAACCTGAGTTGTCACGTGTTGACTTGCGGGCCTCTAGCAATTCTTTGAGCCTCTTGGTTGCCATTGCAGCCTCTTCTGTCTTTCTTTGTAGAACCTAAAAGTTGATAGAACAATAATGCAATAAAAACCATTAGAAAATAATAGACTATTTTTTAAAATACAATGCTATAATTGGGTAGAAAAGTTAACAGTTTTCATGAAGTTAAATAATCATAAGTAACTAAACAGTTAAAAGAATCTAATTCTGACCATTTTCTGGCGTTGATTTAGAGCTTGCAGTTTGTGCCTTTCATATTCATTTCTCCTACCTTCTTTTTTTAGCTGCATTAACATCAAGAAATGGACGAACAAAAGTTATATGGGATAAATGATTGGTTCAAATAGTCAAATTCAAGAAATAGTAATGTACTTTCATTGATTTGTATATTATAGCATCCTACTTTTATTTCTTCCTAATTTCCTGTTACAACATTGTACTTTGGAAACTTTACCCAATTGACTACTATAATTAGGCAGATTTTTCAAAGTATGATTTCCTTATAAGAAAAACCTGAAAGTACAATGCTATAATTGGGTAGATTTTTCACTTTTAATTGCATTAATGATTTTTTTTTTAAAGTAGAATGGTGCAATAAGTATAAATGAGAGTAGGATGCTATAATACACAAATAAATGAAAGTACATTGTTATATCTTGCATATAGCTCAAGGTTAATCTAAAAATAAACCCTTATATTTTGTGCTTTTTCAGGATTAAACCTCAAATTTATTTATTTCCTGAAAAAGACTTGGTATTTTTTCATTTTTTATGAAAAAGCCCTCAACTTTGTATTATTTTCCGAAAAAATCCTCATCCTTTTTAGTTTCTCTCAAAAAAAAATAAACCCTCACATTTTACAATTTTTTCGGAAAAAATAACATGCCTGCAATAATTCTTTTTCACGAGATGCTTTCCACTGCCTGAATTGTTCAGCTTCTTGCTTTATTCTGTGTTGCAGTTGAACCTGCATCCTTAAACAAGTTAATACCAAATTTGATCTCAATAAATAAATATGACATAATTAAAAAAAAAAACAACAAACCTTTTGTGCCTTGATGAATTGTATCTCATCTTGTAACTTTTTGGCTGCCTCATCACTCTTTTGTTTTTGTTTCATAATTTGCACTTGACTATCTTTTTTCTTCTTCAGATCCAGAATCTGTGTAAAAACTAATACAATCAGAACCATGTTTATTTATTAGCAATGATATGAAGAAATATATATATATATATATATATATATATATATATATATATATACCTGTGATTCAAGTGATTTTAACTTGTGGGAATGTAAATCTTGCAATTTTTGTGTTTGGCCATCTGATGTAGCTGAAAGATTTTCAATTTCAGTCTGCAACCTGTCTCTCTCTTTCTTCATAATTGAAATAACAAGTAAATGTTAATATTAAATTACCAAAAAAAAAAAAAAAAATGAACAGAATTTACTTTTATGTATTTTTATTTTACCTGAACTGCCCTTTTTTCATCCTCAAGTTCCATTATTTTCTTTCCAAAATGTTGCTTAAGGGTCATTGTATCAAATCCACCAAAAAGTTTCATCTCCGACTGCATCAATAAATTTAAATTTATAAGAACAAATGTGAATACAAAAATAAAAAATAAAAATAAATTTTTTTTTACACACCTCCTTTTGTTCTAAGCGTTTATTCAATTCATGTAGTTCTTTGTCCATGGAGTCTTGTAGAAGAGTGTGCTCCCATTCTTTTGCTGCTTCTTCATCTATACCAGTAGAATCACCTGATTTCAATATTACAAGAATGCCATTAACTAAGAGATAAAGTTCAGATAGTGTTAAATGCAAGAAATAGCAACATACTTTCTTTATAGCATCCTACTTTCATTTCTTTTTTTCATGACACTGAAAGTATAATGCTATAATTGGGAAGATTTTTTTGAAAAGAAGAAAAGTTTTGAAAGTAGAATGCTGTGATAAATGAAAGTAAGTTGCAATTTCTTGTATTTATTAGATGTTTCAAATAAGGTAAAAAAGTACCACTTTCACTCATCTGATAATCAGATGAATCAACACTACTTTGTAAGCTTCGTTTAATTCCTTCATTTTCCAAACAAAAGGAATCATCACCCTGCAAAAAGTAGTTATCAGGTTACAGTTACACAAACTTATATATAAAAACAGTAGAATGTTTTTGGAATCTAAAAATCTAAAAAAGAAGCTAATATATCACATTTTTTGTTGCCAAGAAAAGTAATGGAATTCGATAACAAAAAATTTAAATGTCTATTCAAATTTCAACATCTTTTTTTTGTTGTAAATGTATATAACTTATTTTCACTTTGGAAATTTAACTATATAGTGAAAAATTATTATTTAGTGCATGCATACTTTAGTATCCATTTCAGAGTGATCAATGGCAATGCCTCGGCTTCTGTAAACATGAAGCTCCCTACAAAGATCCTGATTAGTAGCTTCAAGCCAAGCAATCCTTTCCCTTAGTACCTAAATCAAGTTAAAAATTAAAAATAAAATTAAAATAAAATAATGATCAAATAAACAAAAGTACATTGCAATTTCTTATATTCCAAGTAGCAACATGCTTCCATTTCTTTGAAGACTTTCAATTTTTTCTTCATATACTTTGAAAATCTATTCAGTTATAGCAGTGAAACTTGCTTTATATTTGAATGACATTTGCTATAAATATGTAGATTTTTCAAAGTATAATAAATAAATCAATGATAGTACGTTGCTATTTATTGCATTTAACCCTTTTGTTGACATACTTGTAATTCAACTGAAGAACCTCCACCACGAGCACAAAGTTCTGCCTGCAAACACTCTAATTGTTGGCGCATCTTTAACATTTCACTGGACATTGGATCCCTATTGACCTGGTCAAACATCAAAAGTCAAAACATTGTTCCTATTTTAGTCAAACCCTTCAAAAACAAAGAAACTGTAATTCTACACTTATGACTCACTTACCACAGGCTTATTCTGGATATTTCGAGCGCGATTAGCATACTTCAATGTGTTGAGAGTTTCCTCAGCATTTATATCAGCAGGACTAACACAAGCTGGAAATTTATAAATTTATAACTTTTATGTTTTTGGAAATATAAAAGTATATATATGATTATAGGATTATAAATTATAAAAAGTTACCAATCATAACGGTTCTACTGTTTCCACCAAGTGAATCTTGTAAGAGACGAGTGAGTTTGCTATCTCTGTAGGGAACATGAGCACCTTCTTTTCGTTTCTTCTCGTCACCAAGGGCACTTATGACATTTCCAAGTGCAAGAAGACCCTTGTTGATATGAACTCCTTCTTTGAACCTCATTCCATCAGAACCTGTTCTTTTAGCTCTTTCTGATCCAGCAAGATCAACTAAATGCAACTTTGCACATAAATATTCATCACCCATGGAGTCATTTGAATTTGAGTCACCTTTTCGTATTTGTTCAACCGTTATGGTGAAAATGGCATGTGAACGACTGCATACAAAAGGTGAACATATATAAATTGATATACAGGATAGGACAGAACAGGTTGTACTTGTACTGTGTTTGACATGCATTAGATTGAGACTGTCAGACTGGTGTCAATGAGACAAGATTACTTTTTTTGTCCCAAACAAGGTGGGATAGGGACTCACTCTCGATCTCTTGCATGTGCAAAAGACATAAATACCCCTCATCGCTCTCGACTACATATAAAAGTTGACCACACATAAATAAATATATTGGATAGGACAGAACACAGGTTATACTGTGTTTGACATGCATCAGACTGAGACTGTCAGACAGTTGTCAATGGGACAAGATTACTTTTTTTTTGTCCCAAACAAGGTGGGACAAGGACTCGCTTTGGATCTCTCATATGTGCAAAGGACATAAATACCCCTCATCCTCATAATTAAAAATAGTGTGCATGATGTTAAGATTATAAACCTAGATTGGTTATTCGACTAATGTCAATGGAACAAAACTACTTTTTTCTCCCAAACAAGGTGGGATAAAGACTCGCTCTCGATCTCTCATATATGCAAAAGACATAAATACCCCTCATTCTCATAATTAAAAATAGTGTGCATGATGTTAAGATTATAAACCTTGATTGGTTATTTGACTGATGTCACAATGGAACAGAACTACTTTTTTGTCCCAAACAAGGTTGTATAGAGACTCGCTCTCGATCTTTCATATGTGCAAAAGACATAAATACCCCTTATCTTTATCATTGTATATAGCATGCATGATGTTAAAATTATAAACCCTGATTGGTTATTCGACTGAGACTGATGTTAATGGGACAAAATTACTGTTTTGTCCCAAACAAGGTGGGGCAGGGACTCGCTCTCGATCTCTCGTACGTGCAAAAGACATAAATACCCCTCATCCTCATCATTGAAAATAACATGCATGATGTGAAGATTATAAACCTTGATTGGTTATTCATGTTTGTACTCCCTGTTGCCCTGCTTAAAGATCCATGTTCCAGACAATCAGCCATTTCTTTTAGGGTTTGAACACCACATTCAGTTGACCCTGCAAGTGTTATGACACCATTTGAAGTTTCACGAATTTGTATTGGTGGCTTCCCTGGAATATTTACTTTCCCATTTTGCCCATTTGGTGACTCTGATTTATTACTGGAATTCGGATCCAGCAAGTCCCTTACTTCTTCTTTTAGAATCTTCACATGAGAATATTTCATTACAACATTGATTGAAGGGTATTAAAGTAAATCGACATAAGGAAAGGAGAGGAGAGCAATAGAGCATACCTCAATGAAAGAGACATGCAACTGGAATTCTATTTGATGCTTTAAACTTTCAATCTTGTTGAATAAAGCACTCATAGCTTGAGGAATAAGCCCTGTTTGGGCACCATCTTTGCACCCAGAACCCATGGTGTATGTCTTTCCTGAACCAGTCTGTGAAACTTTAATTGTTAAATATCATCATAAATAAAAAAGATATATATAGAATATGAATATATCTCCATTGTTTAAATAAATAAATACCTGGCCATAAGCTAAAACAGTAGCATTATATCCTTGAAATAAACCATCAACAAGAGGAGAAACACACTCTTCAAACATGGCAGATGATGGGGTTCCAGTGCTTCCATACACATGATCAAAAGTAAAAGAATGTGTACCAAGTTGCACCTGTAACATAATCAATGATTTAGATGTTTATATATTAAAAAGTAGATTAAAATCTTAAGTACTATTTCAGACCTTTTAGATGTGATTATAAGATTTAGAGATTTTACTTTCAACAAAGTTCCACAAATAGATAAATGATTTTTGATTTGGTAACCCCTTTCCTTTCTAGGGAAGATATTAATCACAGAGAAACTTTTTCATATAAAAGTCTGAAGAAGGGCCAAAACTATATATGAATCAAAGAATTTTCAACCTCAAACTACCAAAATAGAATCAGCTATGAAAAGAGAGAATCTTTTAAGGTCCATAAACCAAATATAACTCTATTAGGTTTCCAGATTTCATTATCTCGTTTTGCTGAATGATTCAGATAAGAAGAGAGAAGAAAAGAGCTGGTAAATTGGTAAAAAAGAAAAAGAAATTACAGGTTTATAGCAAATGATCAGAGAGTATAAATCAACACACCAACACAAAAGTGTTCATGATTTGCATACTCATGTTATGTCTTTGACTAATGAGTCAGCTAATAGATTAATAAACACATTAAAATCGATAACTTTGTGTTGGAAGCCATGAAGACCAAAAAGCTAGAAAACACCCCCCTACCACGGGTTACCTATAAACCTTTACCAAACTTGGTATTTAGTGTGAAGAAATGTGTGATGATTGTTAATCTGCAATAAATCTTAATTGCGCACGTAATTTCCCAATTAATGACAAAAAAACACTTCCAGAAAGCACCATCACAGCTAAAAGTTAAGTTAGTTCTCAGATCACGAACAATACTATCACAGTCACAAACATGCATCTTGGATGGCTCTTCAGATTTCCCCCAAACAAGTTAAAATAAAGAGAAATTCGATGCGTAATCGTAGTGGTAGAAGTGATAGTAATTGTGGTACTTCACATTTGAGATCTACTGGATCTCTCATAACTCAGATTCATTTATCTCTTAGACCAATCAATGCCACCAAAACTTAAACCAAATTAGGGAATCAGCAATCAGCGAAAGAAGAGACGATTAGGAGATGATTGAGTGGGCAATTCCTTAACCTGAGGCTTCCCAGGGACGACAGCGACACAATCCTTACACGCTTGAAGCTTTTCATCTCCGATTAGAGGCCTTATGTGTACTGCTACTTTGACACAGCAATCCTCCATAGTCGTGGGTGAAGCCGCTGTTTCCATCACATTAAAGCAACAGTGGAAGTAGATTTCTGCAAACAGCTACAGATTGAGAGATTGTGAAAGTAATTTCACAGCAATGGTATTCACCAAATCAGTTGTTCAGCTTACAAATATGAGATGAGATGCGATGAGAGAGAGAGAGAGAGAGAGAGAGAGATGAGTGGTGGTAATGTGGAGTGCAGCAAAAGGGTGGGGGTGGGGAGAGAGAAGCTAAACTGTAACGACAGCACCAACAACAACCTGTAAGTAGACTTGAGTTACATTTCCTTTCAGAGTCTTCTTTCTTCCTTCCTTCCTTTCTTTTTTCTCTTCTTTTTTATTTTTATTTTCCTTTGGAAAAAAAAAATACTAATAAAAGTACATTTTATGTATTTGTCGTTTGTTTTTTTAATTATTTCTTACGAATAAATTATATTTTACAAACATCGTATTTAAAAATATCTAATTAGATTTATAATAAAAGTTTACTTTAATCTAAAGTATAAATAATAGTTTATAATAAATAAATGGACAAAATCTACTAAAATCGGTATATATTGATCAAATTTATCGTTTTATTTTCATTTCGTTCCAACACTTTTTTCTATCTCAAATATTTTAACCTATAATAGGAGGTTAAAAATGATAATAATTAAAAATTTATCAAAATTTAATCGATTTGATAAAATATATTTATTATTATAATTCAATGTCCAATCTTTCATTAAACTTTGGAACCACCTAAAACAGCCAATGCCAATATAAAACCTAACTGAATATAATATTTTTATTTAATGTTTATAAAATAAATCAATAAAAACTTATTTACCTTTTTGTCTACAAAATAAATTACCATTTTGGTTTCCTTGTGTTTGTGTGTTCCTTGGCATTCACTGCAAAGCAGCCCATATGGTTTGTGTGCGGGTGTGATTGGCATTAAAGCGTCTAAACCACACTTTCCCAAATTACCCTTCAACGGCTCTCCCTGTCCGTTTCGCTTTTTACAATTTTGCCCCTGCGCATTTCCCCGGGAATAATTATTACTTTTCTTAAACAAAACAAATGTTAATAAAATTGTAAATCTTTCTAGCACTTAAAATATAAACATAAATTGGTATTGTCGTTTTATTTAGAAGTGTTAAATCAGATATTTGAGTTGTGTTTTTGTCCGACACTAACGTATATAACAAGATTTTATGTAACACAACATAATACGACACGGCGTCATGATTATTTTTATTAACACGAAAATAAGTTGATAAAAACATAAAAAACATGACAAAGATAACATAATATAGTTATTAGTTTATTTAATTCATATTTAATCATATATAAGATGAAAACACGGCAAACACATCGTGTTTTTTTACAACTGATATAGTTACACAAACGCAAATGCGAATTTCTATTTCATTTCATGTCGTATATTTTTATCATGGGGAAATTGTCAGAAAAATCTCAATATTTTTAGAAAAGTTACACTTTAGTCTCAAATTTTAGTGTTTGAACATAAAAGTCTTGATTATTTCATTTTGACTCAAATTAACAAAAAATCATTTTTTCTTTTAACAGGAAATGATATATTATCGTGTAAAATCAAATAATCTGAACTTTTATGTTCAAAATATAAAATTTTGGACTAAAGTGTAATTTTTTCGAAAATACTAAGACTTTTCTAACATATTCCTTTTTTTCGTGTGTCGTGTGATCGGTTGATACCTCTAGTTTTATTATATGTTACAACTTTTAGTTAGTATCACATTTATTTAAATTTGGCTAAGTTGTTTGTAGAATTTTTTTTGATGTGATAATAGAATTAAGTGCAAAAAGTATTCAAATATTTACCAAGGGTATATTAATTTTATTTTTTATGTTTGAGTATATTATTCGAATATAAAATAATTTCAATATTATAATTAAATATATTTTTTTGAACTGCAAATATAAATATATACTAAACTACTCCTAAATTATTATATCTATATCTACAATGACACTTGAACCCTCGATCTCAAGGAGAGATAGCAACAACGGATACCGTTGGGCTAGAATTTGAAGTATATTTCTATAGCATAAAATTTTGGAAATATAATGAACCTATTTGTTATTTTAATACAATGTTATAAAACTAAAAATGATAGACTTTCAATTAGAGGTATAAACAAGTTGAACCGAGCTCAAACTCAAGTAGGCTTGAACTCGATTCGTTTTAAATTTCATGGGGCTTGAGCTTGAGCACGGCTCATTTCGAGCTTTGTTTACAAAGCTCAAGCTCGGCTCTTGGATAATTTAAAATGCCTAAACTTGGTCCGGACTCGATTTGTTTGTCAGGTGAGCCTAAACAATCCTTAATAATCAAATATCAAGCTTGTTAAAAAGCTTGTTTATCATTATTTAATATTTAATATTTAATTACTTAATTATAATTTAATATATGAAATTAAAAATAAATTTTATATTGTATAAATATGCATATTGTTTATGCTTGTGGACATAATCAAGCTCATTAGATGAGGCTTGAGCTTGAATTCATTTAATAAATGAGCTTGAAGTTAAGCTCGAATTTGAGTCAAACTTTTTTTATGAAATCGGTATACACCCATACTTGCAATGTTGTAATAAAGATAGATAACATTAATATACATTGATATCTTTTTGTTAGTCTTTAATTAATTATCAACATTGATATCTTTTAGTTAGTCTTTAATCCAACTTACTATCATGGAGTTTCTTGATGGTATTTATTGGTCAAACATCTATTACAATATCAATTATCATTATTGTTTAGCAAAAAGTTTTATATCCATGATTTATTAGTTGAAAGGCAATGAAAGAAAAAAGTCGGAAAGACAGCACAATACCACGTGATGTTAGGAATCGGAATAGAATAAGAAGAGTGATTTTGGGGCAGCATCCATTCCGTGTATCTTAGTCCTTACACTTCTTTCCCATTCATCCCTGCCAAACTGTCATATTTTATTTTTATATTTATTTATTTTTTATTTTTGTCTTTCATACATATGATTGTTCCTCGTCAAATAATCTAAATATGTCAAAATCAACTACACCAATTAGACCAATGTTAACCAATAATTTAATATTTTAATATGTAATGTCTTTTTGAGACAACAAGAATGAATTGCTACATTTGATGTATTGTTAATAGGTTGTAACATTAGAATGTATGTCTAACGAAAATATCTTTTTTTCTTAGACAAGTGAAGCATTCACTTATCTCAAAATGCTACGTCATTTAATTCCTCTCATGACGTGTTACTCTTTTAATTGTTTTGAATCGTTGTTGGTTTTGTTTTTACATGTTTTTGTCAAGTTTTTTATTTGGTTTATCTGGTAAAAATGTCAAATATCAAGCTTTATGAGCAGTAAAGAGTCACGATGTTTATTAAGACATGATTTAAGACGGTAATTTTTTATATAATTAATAATTTTATATGTATTTTCTACTATTATTAATTTTTATATACATTTACAAATTAAGACAACGTTTTGTTAAGTTGTTGTCATCAGGTACATCTTTGGAGCCATAACAAGCTTTTTAGAACCATAATAATGCCTAAGATGGGTCAAGGGGTCGAAGTATTATGTGGATAAGAGAGAATAATTTTCCTCCATTTCTTTCTTACCTTGTTTGTTGCTTTCTCTTGATCTATATTGGGAAGGATTCATTGGATGTGTTGTTATTTTAGAGTGTATGATCAGATGTACCATGGTTACCTGCTAGCCTTATTTAAGGCAATTTCTAATGTACCATCCAATGTTGTGTATCCCTCCTATATGTGAGTGTGTGTCGCACCCCCGAACTCGAACGGCGGAAATGTCTAGGGGCGAAGGACATCATTGTACAGTATCATAACAGTTAAATATAATTAGAACATAGCAACTCAAACATCATACATTGAGAATACGAGTTTACATAGTTTACATACTGTGTTTGTTCAAAAGTTACACAATAATGACTGAAAAGTAGAATTCCATAATGCAGCAACGCTTGTTCTCAAGAAATTTGAATACATGTTACTGGTTCCCTGAGAATGAAAGTGATTTTGAAAAGCGTCAACAATGAATGTTGATGAGTTCATAAGCATTTTTGTAAGAAAAGGGTTTGTAACTACTTTGTTTAAAATAGTTTTGTATACTTCTAGAAAATCTGGTATTTTTTATAAAATAGGTTGTTAGTCTAATAACCAAGACTAAAAATGTATGAATGTGTTTTGTATCTTTATCCTTGTAAAATGAATAAGTATGTATGTTTCCAGAAAATCCAATATTTTCTTATGTATGAACAGTAGTCTTAAAACCCTAAGACCAGAAATGTAAGTAATAGTGTATTGAAAGATAGTATATAGCTATATATTTTATAAAGCTAATGAAGTGTGAGCTTCCTGTAAATCAAGATAGTATCGTTAATCCCTATGTGAGTTATTATAACCATGCTTGATATGACTAATATGCCTGAACGGCGTTCTTCGGGCGCCGGAATTGGTAGACATTTGTCACCTTAGACTTGTCGGTCTAACTGTAACGAACAACTGAGATGTAGGGTTGTCAATCTCTTATAGATTTATACACAACTATCTCGGTTTCCTTCCAAGAAACTTTGATTATAATGCAAGACTTAAAGTGTACGCTAGGTAGGTACGGTGAAGATAATGTCTTACTAGAGCCTTAACAGATTTATGCGAACTATGAGTCCCTTTTCTTGTATAATGAAATAATTATACCATTGAAATGTTATAAAAGTATGGTTTTGTGACTTCCAAACTATACCAATTATAGTTTTCATTTATATGTTTTTGTGTAAACTATTTATATAAACTTTATATAATATCAAGTTGAAAACTTGTCTAGTGTCGATGTATGTTATCAAAACGTAAATCATCGGGTTTTTAATCCACCAAAAACAGTAGTGGCTAAAATATAACCATTTTTACTAGAAGAACTATTTTTAGTAAAAATCACCAAAAATCTTGTAGTTTGTACTACTCATATTTTTCCTGTTG